TTCGGCCTCCGAGGGCCCTCACCGGGCCTCGGGACCGTCAGAAAACGACGCAGGATGAAAAACCGCTCCCGGGGAAGGGGTCTCAGACCTCTGGGGGTCGACGTTGCAAAGAAATCACGACGTCGGGAGTCTGGGCATAGCAGGTACCAAAATGCAGCTGCTATCCCCGGACCTCTCCCGGGCTGCGCTCCGAACAGGGCTTCGAGGCAAAGCCCGCGGTGGCGACTGGGGCCTCCCAGGAGGAAGGCCCACGAGAGGGGCAAGCGGGGGGAGGGTATACGGCATGGGTACCTTTCCCTCCTCTGATTCCCGAGGCGGGCCACGTGCTCCGGCGCTGCGCGGGGGCCTTGTAAGCCCCTCGCCGCTGGCCCTGCTCGCGAGCCGAAGCCCCCCCCCTGCGGCACCGGGCGCCGCCTAGGCTTTGGCTGCGTGCGCTCGCCCCTCTTGGGCCCACACAGGAGGAGGAGGAGGAGGAGGAGGAGGAGGAGGAGGAGGAGGAGGAGCAGGAGGAGGAGGAGGAGGAGGAGGAAGAGGAGGAGAAGGAGGAGGAAGATTCCTGGATGTCTCGCGCGGCATCCCGAGGCCCAATTTGCGCCAGGCCGCCCGTCGGATCTCCGTCGGGCCCCCGCCAGCGTGCATCGGATGTGCTTTGGATTCACGTCGGAGGTACGTCGGACTTGCGTCGGAACGTTGCCGTGCGAACGTCGGCCCAGATCTTACGGGGCAGACGGGCAGCTAGATGATACAACTAGCTATGCGCTGGCAACAAGAAAAGGCGGGGGACTCCAGCGGAGGCACCGAAAAATACGAGAAACGTCCCAAACCTTGATCCTCGAACCTCGAGGATCGAACCCCGTGAGGTGCTGCAAAAACCTCCAGGAGCCTCTGGGAGCCCCCGAGAACCTCTGGGAACCTTCGAGGACCTCGGAGAGCCTCCGCGGATCTCCGAAGACCTTCGAAAGCCTCCGAGAGGTGCAGAAGTTGAGAAGGCAAAACGGGTCCCGAAGGAGAACTCGGGGTCCCTAGGCGACCACATGTGAACCCTACCCCTACCCCACACGATTTCTGAGGCAGGGAAGTGAAACCCCACCCCCCCTTAGAAATCGTGGGGGGCAGGGTAGGGTTCACATGTGGTCACCGAGTCCCGAAATCGTGTGGTGACGGACTGCGTGGTGACCTCAGAATCCCCAACGACCTCACCGCGCGGTCCGTCTCCGCTAGGTTTTCTGGACCCTGGAGGCCCCAGTCGACCGAGACGTCCCCAGAGAACGACACGAGCCCCCACCGACTGACCTTGCGGTGTGGTCACCGTTCCGTTGGGAGGCCTCGGGGAAAGGGGGCTGGTCGTCCAAAACTCCCATACAGTCGGGCTGCTGAAAGAAAGAACGATAAACAAGGAACGAAGCCTCTTTTTGGCCCCACGAGCGACTGCGTGCACGAGGAAGGCTAGAGCAAAAGCCATAGAAGGACATAAGGAATATCGAGCCCCGTTCTTACTCAAACTGATCCTTATTTCAACGACTTGGCTGTCCTATGAAGTGCCACCGGCACTTGCAGAGCAGAAACGAAGAAGGGCAAGAGAAAAGCCCTGCGTTCGGCCCCGCGGAAGGCCTCCGCGGGCCCCCGAGAGAGAACGGCCCGGAGGACGAGCTGGTCCTGGGGAGACGCCCGTGGTCTAGGACCCGCTGCCCTGTGGACCCATGCCGCCCACGGCGGAGAAGAAGACCGCGTGAGCGCAAACCTCTGGAGGCCCGCGCGGATTTCCTGGGCTGGCGCGCTGGACCGCCCTCGCCTCAGTGTGCGGAGGCGCTGGAGGCGCCGCTTCGAGCTTCGAGGTTCGAGGATCGAGCTTGCCGAAGCGTCTTTGTCCATGCGTCGCCGCGCCATTTCCTCTTGACGCGCCCAAGTGGACGACGCCGACAACACGGCAAACCCACGGCAAACCCTGCGTCCCGCGCCCCCAGTTGACGAAGCCGACATCGCGGCAAACCTTCGGCGAACCCACCGCCTCCGAGGAGATGTTTGCCCTGGTGGCCGAGGCGCCCTTTCCCAAACGCAAGGCCACGCGTCGGAACAAACGGCGCGGCGACATTTCTGAACCTCTGCAAGCCTGGCGATCTCCGGGGGCCTCCGCTCGGGGATCTACTGACCCAGGTCCACGCAAACCTGGGTCAGTCAGGCCGTGCAAGATCCTGCATAATCTTGCAAGACCATGCACGCTAACCCAGGTCAGTGCAGCCCTGGCCCTGCAGGATCCTGCAAGATCTGGCGCCCTGACTGACCCCCGTTTGCATTGACTCCCCGTCTCTTGAGCCCCGACCCCAGACTCCTGACGCCGTATTTTTTTCTACAACGTCGACCCCCAAATGTGTGGACCCCTCCCCTGGGACCAGCTTTTCATCCCGAGTCGTTTTTTGACGGTCCCGAGGCCCAGCAAGGGCCCCCAGAGGCCGACAGTAATGACAAACCCACCGCCGAGATTTTTGCACAACGCGATGGGGGGGCTGGGATGCGCGCCCCGATCCGCAGGCCTCTGGGGGCCTCGGGAGACACATAGGAGGCCTCCGCGGCCCAGGGTGCCGTCTGGAGGTGTCGGGAGAGGCGCACCGCCCCAGCACGAGCCGCGAGCCTGACTGCCCGCCGGCTGGGGATCTCAGCAGGCTGCTCCAGATGGGGGGTGGCGCTGTGGCCGGTGCTCTGGGGGCATAACGGCTGAGGAGGAGGAGGAGGAGGAGGAGCGCGAAGGCTGAGAATGAGGAGAGTAGTAGAAGTAGTAGTAGAAGTAGTAGTAGTAGTAGAAGTAGTAGTAGTAGTAGTAGTAGTAGTAGTAGTAGTAGTACTAGTAGTAGTAGTAGTAGTAGTAGTAGTAGTAGTAGTAGTAGTAGTAGTAGTAGTAGTAGTAGTAGTAGTAGTAGTAGTAAGTTAGTAGTAGTAGTAGTAGTAGTAGTAGTAGTAGTAGTAGTAGAGTAGTAGTAGAGTTGTAATAGTAGGTAAGCAGTAGTAGTAGTAGTAGTGCGGGTTAGTAGTGGTAGTGTATAGTAGTAGTAGTAGTAGCAGTGTAGGTAGTAGTAGCGTAGTAGTAGTTGTAGTAGTAGTAGTAGTTAGTAGTAGTAGTACGTGTGTGGTAGTAGTGGTACTAGAGTATTAGTAAGTAGTAGTAGCAGTTAGTAGTAGTAGTAGTTAGTAGTAGTAGTAGTTAGTAGTTAGTAGTTAGTAGTAGTAGAAGTAGAATAGTAGTAGTAGTAGTAGTAGTAGTAGTAGTAGTAGGTGTAGTAGTCTTAGTAGTCGTAGTTAGTAGCCGTAGCAGTAGTAGTCGTAGTAGTAGTAGTAGTAGCAGTAGTCGTCGTAGTAGTAGTAGTAGTAGTTTTTCTTTTTTCTTTTTGTTTTTGTTTGTAGTTAGTAGTAGTAGTAGTAGTAGTAGTAGTAGCAGTAGGAGTAGCAGCAGTAGTAGCAGTAGTAGTAGTAGTAGTTAGGTAGTATAGGAGGGAGGAGGAGGAGGAGGAGGAGGAGAAGGAGGGAGAGGGGAGAGGAGGGGGAGGAGGAGGAGGAGGAGAGGAGGAGGGAGGAGGAGGTAGGAGGAGCAGGAGGAGGAGGAGGAGGGAGGAGGAGGAGGAGCGCGAAGGCTGAGAATGAGGAGAGTAGTAGAAGTAGTAGTAGTAGTAGTAGTAGTAGTAGTAGTAGTAGTCGTAGTAGTAGTAGTGGTAGTAGTATTAGTAGTATGAGTATTATTATTATTATTATTAGTAGTAGTAGTAGTAGTAGTACCAGTAGTACCAGTAGTACCAGTAGTAGTAGTAGTAGTAGTAGTAGTAGTAGTAGTAGTAGTAGTAGTAGTAGTAGTAGTAGTAGTAGTAGCAGTAGTAGTAGCAGTAGTAGTAGGAGGAGGAGGAGGAGGAGGAGGCTGAGGGAGGTATGTTGATGCTGATGATGCTGCTGCTGATGATGCTGATGATGCTGCTGATGCTGATGCTGATGCTGATGATGATGCTGATGATGATGATGCTGATGATGATGATGATGGTGATGATGATGGTGATGATGATGATGATGGTGGTGATGATGATGATGACGAGGAGGAGGAGGAGGAGGAGGAGGAGGCGGAGGAGGAGGAGGCGTTGTAATCCGTGGGTGCTGGCCTGGGGCCGCTTTCCCTGGATCTGGGGCCCCATGGGGCCTGGAGTGGGGGGGGGGGGGGCCGAAGCCTGGCGCTCCCCGCCCTCGCCCCAGGCGGGCCGAGCCGACCTCGAGCGTCCCTTCCCGCGCGCCTGTGCAGCAGCACCTGGGGCCCCGAGAGAGCCCCCAAAGGCTCCCAAGAGGGCCCCCAAGGGGGCTCCCAGAGCGTGACTGCGCGCTGCTGCATACTCCCCGATCAGGACAGCTCGCCCGGTGATTGCTTTGGGCTGGGCTCGTGGTGGGGCAAGGCGACGCGCAACACCTGGGGTCCGCGAGCTCGGAGGAAGGCGAAAACTAAATGAACATACACTTTCGCCCCCCTCCTCGTCCTCGTCCTCCTCCTCCCCCCTCGCACCTCTTCCTCCTTTTCCTCGCGCCTCCTGCGCCCTAGCGTGCTCCGCCACCTGCTCCTCAACATCCTCGTCGTCCTCGTCGTCGCCGTCTTCAGGGTCGGCGGCACCGGCCGTAAGGCCTTCGCAATAAATGTACACTTCCGGAAGTCTGGACGAACCCCTTGGATCAACGCTGATTCCCTCGTCCCTGCGGTGCCAGAGACGGCGCCGGATGCGCCGCCAGGGGTGCCCAGCGCCGATCCAAGAAATCCGCGCTGAGCTCATCAGACCCCCGACGTCGTGACCTTTTCACAACGTCGACCCCCAGAAGTCTGGACCCCTTCCCTGGGACGGGTTGTTCATCCCGAGTCGTCTGGGTCCGAGAATGTGCGCTCCTGTCGTGGGCTCTTCCTCGAGGCGCTCTCGGCGCGGAGTGCCCGCGCGCGCCGCGCGGTGGGACAGCGAGCTGGCCGCGCGGGCTGCCGAGCACGGCGCTCCGGAGCACCACGCCCACGGTCGACCAGCCTTGGAAGATCGACTGCAGCTGGTCCAGCGAGTTCTCCAGATCAACGAGCCTTCAAGAACAGAGGAGGACAACATAACGCATAACATGAAGGCATGAAGGCAGGAAGGATATAGAAGGACAAACACGCACAGACAAGGATGGAGGGACAAGAGATCATTCTGGCATGAACGGAACGGGCAAAAGGCTGCCCAACCGCAAGCTTCCAGAACACCGCGCGGACTTCTTGGAGCGGCGCTGGGCCACCCCGGCGGGGCCTCTGGCGCCGCCGCTGGCGCGCCAGGGAGGGGGTTCCAGCGACGATCTCGGAAATCCAGGCAGACCTCCGAACATGTCTGGTCCAGAAAGTCATCCAGATCGATCGGCCCACCTTGGCGCGTCGCGCGGCCCCAGTGACACGCCGTGCCCCGAGAGCGGATGGCGTGTCGCTCCGCTCCGCGGCAGGGAGGCTGGGAGAAGCTCGGGCTCTTGGCGCCTGCGGACTGAGACGTGGAGCAGCGTGTCGAGAGGAATCGCGTTGGGCCAGAACCGGCGCCGCGACACGCTGAGGAAGCCAAAGTTCCTGCGCTGGCATGCAGGGGAAAGGCGCGGCGAGAGAGAGAGAGAGAGACGGGTGCTGGACCCCGAGGCCCTCCCTGGGGCCGGGGCTTGTCAGCCCGAGACCTCTCTCGACAGCCTCAGGGCCCACGAGGGGCCCTGGAGTGACCGAAGAAAACCAAGGCCCCACGGGGTGCTCCCAAAGGGCCCAACACTGCCACTCAGAGGCCCACGAGCGCGCCCCGAAGAGGCCCCACGAAACATCACTGAAGACTCTGCCCCACGTCAGCGTCGTCGTCGCCGCCGACGCCGCCGTCGTGGCCGTCGTCCCCCTTCAGGGTCGGCGGCACTGGCCGCAAGGCCTTCCCAACCAGGGCCCCGTTCCCTCAGGAGCCCTTCCGTTCATGCTGTGCCGATCATGGAAGGCCCGCAGAGGCACGCGCGCGCGAAAGCGCTCGCAGACATACGCGAGCGCAGTCTACACTGCCTTCGACAGGTGACATTCTAAGTTTCAAGTTTCCCAAGGAACGCAAACAAACGCGCGACCATCCCCCCCTTCTTGGCGCCAAAGCGGCGTCTCGCCTCATCCGACCCCCCGCTGACAGTGGCCCGAGGACCAACGCCTCAGGACAGCTCCGATCGGGTGGTCGGTTTCGGCCCGAAATTCGTGTCGTGCTCCTCCTCCTCCTCCTCCTCCTCCTCCTCCTCCTTCTCCTCCTCCTCCCTCTCCGCCGCCTCTTGCTCCACGTCCTCCTGCTCCTTCTTCCGCTCGGCCGTGTCGGCCCAGGCGTTTTGCTTGGGCTTGCCCAGGCGCGTCTTCGACGCGGCTCGCTCGCGCGGGCCTTCGATGGCGGCGAAACACCCGACGTGGCCTTGCTGGAATTGTGCGAAGGTTTATGGCACAGCGTTTGCCACCTATGCCCTCTGCAGCGCCTGCTTGCGATGTGGGAAGCAGGCTCCCAAAGGGGGTACTGGAGAAGCAGAAGCAGAAGTAGCAGCCACCTCAGCGACGGTGGGGACAAGATGAGACGGGACACGCTCCATCGCAGAAGCGTCGGTGGGACGACGGACCGCCGACGAGTCTACTACCCCTGGATAGGCGACCCCACTCCAGAGCCCCAGATGGGGGAGGCAACGGCAAAGGCGCTGATCGACACCACGGTCAAAGCGCACGGAGTTGATCGGAAGCTACGGCCAGAACAGGCACAAAGCTTGGCGGTGCAGTGGGACGAGGCTGTGGAGACTGAGGCAAGGGTCGACCAACCAGTGGACTACACCAAGCTCCGCTCTTTCCAGATCGGCCAAAGGTTTGTGGACACCAACGATAAGATCGAAAAGGCGCAGGAGCGGCTCAAGAAGCGAGGGTAGTAACTCCAGCTGGCAGAAGCACGACGCGGTGCAGAAAGGCAGATTCTTGAATCACATGAGGAAGGGCAACATGTGAGAGGCAGCTGGACAAGAAGGCAACCCAACCAGCGCATGCTGTGGCAAACTTGCCAATATCCGACAAAGTCTTGCTTGATGATGATGATGATGATGCTGATGATGATGATGATGATGATGATGATGATGATGATGATGATGATGATGATGATGATGATGATGATGATGATGATGACGACCCCATGGGTGGACACACAGCGGCACCAGAACACGTTCCAGTTCCAGATAATGAGACCTCGCCGACGTCTGCGATGAGCAGGGTCTCAAGCTGGACGGAGTCACAGACGAGGCATGGCAGAGATCAAGCGCATCCAGGAAGCCAGGAAGCGGTTTCGGAGTGCGTTCGTAGCAGCGGCGAGGAAGCGCAAGAAAAGAAGGGTGGAGCCCCCAGCTTCGGCAGCGGTAGCAAAGACGTGAAGCCAATTGGCAGCGCTGGAGTTGGGGGCAGGTGACGGATGAGGTTGGCATCTGGGCGACCACCTACAGCTTCGATGGGTTCTCGTCGAGACATTGCGACGGTGACGTCTTTGGCATCCCAGATTCTGTCTGTGGGTGGAGGCATGGCGGCATCAACGCGGACGGCAACCCATGATTTGTGCCTTCCGGTGGTGTTATGGCGCTTTCTACTAAGGACGGCACCTGCCAGGTGCTCCTCGGGCCCAACTGGCGGGCTCGAAAGGTCAGGATCGCCCCCGTGCGGCGGGCTCGTCGTACGCCGCGTCTTTGCAGCGGGGGGTCGAAGACAGGTCAGGATCGCCTCCTCCGGGAGGCTCAACGTCGCACGTTTTGCCAGGAACGCTCCCGTCGGGAGGCTCAACGCCGAAATTGTTGCTTGGCGACCAATTGAGATCACGCAGGACATGTTGCCAGGAGTTGTCGCCCTCCATTGCGCAAGGAAAAAGCAATGTCAGGCAATGGAGCACTGCCACTGCCATATCACTTCGCTCAGAGAGGTACGGCCAAGCTCTCGACGATAGACCTTGAGGTGAACGACGTCGGCGCGGTGCCTGATGCGATCCTGCTCCAGGAGCGCAAGATCTTGAAGCCAGCCATGGGTGACGCAGTGGCGCTGCTCAGGCAAAAAGGCTGAAATCTCAAGTTACCTCCTGCACGCCAGGGGCGAGGCTTGCATGTTGCATCTGCTGGAGCAGGAGCTGGAGTAGGTAATCACATAAGATCTGCTGATCCACCGGATATGGGAAGTGTGCGCCCATCGAGTTCAAGATGGGCCCTGCAATGGGTTGATGGGATGCTTCCAGGCGGTTTCTTGATGGCCCCGATGTATCTTACCACATGCAGTCACAACGAGGAGGCGCAGGAGCACGCCAGGCATATTACGCTTCAATGTTTAGAGCAGCTCATGCGAGATTGGATGCCCTCTATCACTGGAGGGCATTGGCGCGCGAGGCCGGTAGAGCTGACGGAGCTGAATGTCACGCGAGATGTTCCTGTCACGATCGCGGCGCCATGCGAGTGGACATGCTGGGCATGCTCTGTTGGACATGGCAGAACGATCGACCACATCGTGCTGTTAACGAACCTCTGGAACCTGACAACGGAGGCCGAAAGGATCGATGGCGTCAGCTTGGCGACCCACTGGGGGTGTTTTACTTGAGTTAGAGGCCAGGCCTGGGGCAGCGATGCGGCAGAAGATCGCCGGCCCAGAAAAGCATCCAAAGGAGCGCCCCATGGGCGCAGGGAGAACCTCCTAGCCACGATCAGGCTATGTTGGAATGCGAGTACGCCAGGGGCGGCAGTAAGTTGAACTTGGCTGCGAAAAGTGGAGCTGGCCGAGCAGGAAATGGGAGGAGGAGGAGGAGGAGGAGGAGGCGGAGGAGGAGGAGGAGGAGGGGGAGGAGGAGGAGGAGGAAGAGGGAGGAAGGAGGAGGGGGGAGGGGAGAAGGAGGGGAGGAGGAGGAGGAGGGAGGAAAGGGGAGGGGGAAGGAGAAGGAGGAGGACGAGGAGGAGGAGGAGAGGAGGAGCGGAGGAGGAGGAGGAGGAGGAGGAGGAGGAGGAGGGGGAGGAGGAGGAGGACGAGGAGGAGGAGGAGGAGGAGGGGGAGGAGGACGAGGAGGAGGAGGAGGAGGAGGAGGATCGCAAGGCGGCCGTTTCCAGCTTGCAGACGCCAAGAGGACGGCTTCAAGTGGGCGCGGCAGGCTCTCCACGGCTGAAACTCGCGACGGCGGCAGAGGCAGCGCCGGACAGTGGGCCACTGGGAATCCTTCGTCGAGGAGGCGAGCTTCGAGGGTCCCCATGGGCATCGTGCGTGCCCTGGCGGCGGGTTGGGAGCTGGACTCGCAGCTTGCTCAGCAAAGATCGCGCGCGCTCAACAGCCTGGAGGGCAAGGGCGTGCACATGGGCGGTTCACGGCTTGTACTCACGCATCGGTTGCAGCATGAATGCTGCTGGGCGGCAGACCGGCTTGAAGACTGCAGCTGGATGGCGGAGTGCGAGGCGACCAAGCTGGATGAGCAGCATTCCAAAGCAAGAGCCGAATAATGGAGGATGCTGTTGTCTAAGGCGTTCGAGACGGAGGATGCCACAGTGCATCGGTGAAATAAATTGCTAGTCATGTGGGTGCAAGCTGAGGTCCACCTGGATGCAGGAATCACATCGCACGCGACCAGGCTGAAGAACAGCAGTGACAGGATATTCGGAGGCATGTGCTAGGAGAAGTCGTTTGGAGGAGGACTCAGACTGCAAAATATTGACGATGGTTTTGTCGTAGAGTGGCCGGGACACGATAAGGCGCGATCTTCCAAGGGCACAACGGCGTCTGACGTGGACATCTGGGTACCCCAGAAATTTGATTCATCTGTCAAATCAGTGTCTCCATGCTTTTGGGCAGGTGCTGGCGACGGCTGATAGCTCGTGGAGGTTCCGACGCAGATGACCAACGCGATTCTGCAACGTTTCCCGAAAGCAGAGGGGGGACATACATTGATTGGCCGCTGACGGACACACTCAGGGTTCACAATAAGTGCAGACGAGG